ACCCCTGACTCCTCTTTGGGAGGAGAATTTTGGGAATTCCCTGGGAATTCTGGACTCCAGGAAGGGTCTCCCTTCCCTTTTCCATCCCAAATTCCCTAAAAACCCCTCGGGATGGATCCTGAGCGTCCTGGATTCCAAAATCTCGGAATGGGATCCTTGGAATTTCAATCCCATCCCATTCCCATCCCAAATTCCACAAAACTCCCTCTGGATGGATCCTGAGCGTCCTGAATCCCAAAATCCCGGAATGGTTTGGGATGGGATCCATGGAATTTCAATCCCATCCCATTCCCATTCCAAAATCCTCCGATTTTTCCAACCTTTCCTCGGACACTCCCAAGGATTCTCTGGGAATTCCAGCCCAGCCTGGAATTCCTTCCCCGTATCCCACCAACATTCCCCATCGTTCCCCGCGCCAAAAAATCCGGATTTTTTTTTTTTTTTTTGGGGGATCCATCTTCGCATCCCGACCTTGCTCGTGGCTTCCGTTTTGACAGAATTTTCCTTTCTTTTTTTCCTGGTTTTCCCCTTTTTTTCCTGCCATTCCAGGGATTTGGAATGCTGCTGATGGAGGAGGCGGAGAGGATCGCCAAGGAGGAACACGGGGCGCGGAAAATTGCCGTGATTTCCGGTATTTTTCTTTATCCCTTGGGAATTTATATATATATATATTTTTTTTTTTAGGATGTTTTCCTCTTAATCTGAAAATAACCCCGGAATTATCCCGGAGAAAGGAGCTGGGAGAAAAAACGGGAAAAATTCCCGTTTTTCCTGACAGCAGAGGAGGAATTGTGGGTTGGAATTGATGGGGATTTTGGGATCTCGAGGGAGTTTTTTCCAGGTCGCTGTTCCATCCTGTGGAATACAATAATTTATATATACAATAATTTATTATAAATCCAAAGTTTTGGGAATGATGGGCAGAGGAATTCTCGTCGCCGTAGGAATTTTATGGGATTTGACGGCGGAGGGGATTTTTGGGGAGAAAAAATCCTCGTTTTCTGCTGTCCCACCAAAAAAAAAATCCCAAAAAAAACCCCAAAAAGCAGAACGGGGAAACCTGGATTCCGGAATTCCGTGATTCCATGTCCCAGTCCTTTCCCAATTTCTGGTGCTGTTTGGTGTTGGTTTGAACTGGGAATTCCACCTGGATTCCGGAATTCCATGATTTCATCTCCCAATCATTTCCCTGTTCCTTTTTGGTGTCGGTTTGAACTGGGAATTCCACCTGGATTCCAGAATTCCATGATTCTGTCTCCCAGTGGTTTTCCTGTTCCTTTTTGGTGTCAGTCTGAACTGGGAATTCCACCTGGATTCAAACCTGGAGAAATCCCTGGATCCAAACCTGGAGAAATCCCCGGATCCAAACCTGGAGAAATCCCCGGATCCAGCCTGGAGAAATCCCTGGATCCAAAGCTGGAGAAATCCCTGGATCCAGCCTGGAGAAATCCCTGGATCCAAACCTGGAGAAATCCCTGGATCCAGCCTGGAGAAATCCCTGGATCCAGCCTGGAGAAATCCCTGGATCCAAACCTGGAGATGGGAATGATGAAATCCCTGGATCCAAACCTGGAGATGGGAATGATGAAATCCCTGGATCCAAACCTGGAGAAATCCCTGGATCCAAACCTGGAGAAATCCCTGGATCCAAACCTGGAGAAATCCCCGGATCCAGCCTGGAGATGGGAATGGAGAAATCCCCGGATCCAATCCTGTGGCGACGGAAGGCGCCACAATCCCAAAAATTCCAGGACGTGGATGATCCTTCCAATCCCACAAATCCCAATTTGAATCCTTGGCTATTCCTGGGAATGTCAAACCACAGGAGATGTCACAATCCCAAAAAAAAAAGAAAACTGGGAATGGAGGGCTTTTCCAGCCTCCCAAATTTTTGGTGTTCCCGCAGGAATCCACCGTCCTGGACTTAGATTGGGTGGGAATTATTCGGGAATCGCATTAACGAGGAAGTGAAGGAGATTTCCCTCCCGGGGATTTGGAATTCCCAGCAGTGGGAGTGGGGTTGGATCAGAGCTGGGATCATTTTCCCGGGATTTTGAAGGAATTGTTCTTCCCTTCCGTGGGAATATCGAGCGTTTCAATCCTGCTCTCCGAGCTCTGAGCGCGGCGTTCCTGGTGTCCGCATCCCAAATTTCCTTCGTGTTTGCAGTCCAAGAAATCCTGGATTTGTGTCCAGTGGGATTTGTCCATTTCCCTGGATCCCGTTATCCTGGATCCCGTTACCCTGGATCCCGTTAGCCTGGATCCCGTTATCCCTGGATCCCGTTATCCCTGGATCCCGTTATCCCTGGATCCTGTTATCCCCGGATCCCGTTATCCCTGGATCCCGTTATCCCTGGATCCCGTTATCCCTGGATCCCGTTATCCCTGGATCCCGTTATCCCTGGATCCCATTATCCCTGGATCCCGTTATCCCTGGATCCCATTTTCCCTGGACCCCATTATCCTGGATCCCATTATCCCAGATCCCATTTTCCCTGGATCCCATTTTTCCTGGATGTTTTTCCCTGGATCCCGTTATCCCTGGATCCCGTTATCCCTGGATCCCGTTATCCCTGGATCCCATTTTCCCTGGATGTTTTTTCCTGGGATCCCGCTATCCCTGGACCCCATTATCCCGTTTTTTTTTTCCCGGGATATTTGGACCCCCTTTCTCTCTCCGGATCCT